CCAAACTCCTGGGACCCCAGACTTGGTCTCCTGGCCTCAAATGCCAATTCCTGATGGCAGCTTCACTTTCTCCAGAACAGATGAAGGCTTCGTGTGTGTCAGCTTCCAGTTCTAACTCACTGATTTATTGATTATACATTTTTGAACCCAGAAATCTTGTCCCTGATAATGGAGGTACCACGTAATTTCGTGTGTAGGTTCACTGATTTTAAATACAGCTGATTGCTATAGAGGTGTATCTACAAATGTTTAGGATTTTTCTAAATTTTATTTTTAAAATTTTAAAAATTCAGAAATTGATGTCTATCTACACTGAAGTCAACATAAGTTTTCCAGTAACTAAATCAAGAACAGCTCTGATTTCTAATCTCTCAATTCTTGACACATATAATGATTTAACTGCTTTGATTTCTTACAGCTGTGAATTGTTTTGCTTACTTATCAATTCTTGTTTCAGTGTACTCCCAGATAACAGAACTATAACAACATTGCTGTTTTCACAAGTGGAGACAAATCCCTGGTGAGCTGGGAATGAAACAAGTCCTTTCTACATACATTTTCAGGGCATATTGTCTTCTCTTGAAAGTGGGATATTTGCATCAATTATTTCTGTTTTAAAAGCATCTCTTTACACCTCCCTAGAGAAGAATAAAAAATTAATTTTTCTCCATGGATTTGAATATTTACAAGAACATTAAAGAAATTAACACTGCCTTTTTTTGAGGAGTCTGGAAGTTCTACGATTTACAATTTACAGAAACTCTGGATTGCCCAGTTTGTCTGGGTATAAATTATATTTCACAATGGCACCATCTGCTGGGAGATGAGCAAGGCAGTGAAACACACTGGGCTTCCCTCACTGCCCCCTTTCACAATTAAACATAGGATGACTGATATCCAACACCTCCTCCAAATGGCAACATAAATTAAACCTGGAAAAGCAACTAAAAGAACCAGAAGGCTGCTAATGACAGAATATCACTGAGGTTTTCACCCTGGAATTTCTACTTAATACAACAGGAACTGATTATTACCACTTGGTTTTACTTTTCCCTACTGATACAGTGCAATACTGAAAAGAGCACTAGGAATCTGTCTTGATTTGTATTTCACACAGCACACACTTCCATGTACCTCAGAAATTCTTTCAGACAAATGAGAGAAATCTCTCCTTCCAGAGATGTGAAATCAATTGATGATTACAGTATGATCATGGTCTGGGGTAACACCTCAAACTTTCTCTGTGCCAGTAGTGTGTGACAGACTCGGCTCCCCAAGGACATTTTTAGCTGCTGTCCACTACTGGATGAACAAGTTCCTCAATTCAGAAACACACATCACACCCTGTCACTGTCACACAGTGCCCTTTACTGGCAATGGACCAGGATTTGCACTTGTTTTGCTTAACATCCAGCATTTCCAGATGCAGCTGGAAAAATGCCTCAAGCTCTGCAGCAATATCCATCAGAGTATGAGCAGTGACAGAGGAGAGGTCAGTAACTTCTGGCTGCAGAGGGAATTAATCCTGGAAATATTTTCCCTTCTCTTACCATTACTTTAATATTGCTTGTTGATTCCCCAAGCATTACTCCACGTTGGTTTCATGAGTAAAATTCAGTTGGTAGTGACTCAACGAGCTGATCCAAGCTGACAGAAAATCTTTCAGCAGTCTGTGCAAACCAAGAGGCAGAATTGATTTGCTCCTGATGTGCTGCAGGTGCCCACACACAGCCAGCCACTGCTGCTCCTCATGTAACTGCTGGGTAACTGCACAGAGGGACAGATACTCCTCAGATACATCTCAGAGTACACCAAGAGAGGCTTGAAAAAGGCTGAAAAATAGATATAGTCAGTCCTGGAATATGTGTTCTTTACAAAACAGTTTTTTTCATTAAATATGTTAAATATTGGGGGGGAAAGTTCTTTTATCAAAGGTTAGGAACCAGAAAAATGTTAAAATTATATCTATGAGTAAGCTGAGTGATTAAGCTAACAGAGCACTCTATTCTTAAAGCAATTCCTGAAAACATTTGTCTGGAACACTTTTCACACAGTGATGTTTGAATTTATCCCAAGAGAGATGCATTAATAACCCTAGTTTTCAGTGTTTCATCAATTTTTTTCTTTCTTTTTCCATTGTTGGGAGATGATTCAGAGGACAGATATACCATTTAAAAATATTTCATCTTGGGGGATTTGGGAGCTGCTAGGTTTATCAAATTGGGAACCCAAAAGTTCCTTTCACCTGCTGACATGTTCTTTGCAATCTACAAACAATTGAAAAGCATTCACTATGTCAAAATTATCATTCATAACCAGAAGAAATTAAAAGCTACCTTAAATACGCATAGAAAAGAGATCCTTTCCTCTTCTTCTTGTCCTCCAGAAAAACAATTCTCTCACAATTAAACACCATGTACTTGAAATAAACAGCAGACATGCCCCCACAGTCTTTTTGAGTAGGAGTGTGAAAATTCAGTATTGAGTGACCTGCAGACAATACAGAAGCCTTGATTTAATTCATCACCAGATATAACTGTCAGTCCATGTGATTTCTGGGACCTTCTGCAGATATCCACTGCAGCAGATGCTCCTCCAGAATGCAGGACCTCTCAGGATGAGAAACTGGGAATAACTCTGTATCATAATTCTTATAATTTTGCTGAAACACACCAATTTCCTTGGAAGCCTGAGACAGACCAGGCACAATGTGATGCCATCACAGCCTTACTACAGAACACTATCACACTATTTTCATCCTCAAGTTAAAGAACTGACCATGTGAAAGACAGCTCAGTTTGGCTTATTCCCTTCCACCTGCTCACTTGAGGCAGAATATTGTCACAGCACCAAGTGACATATTTTTCCCTTTCAGATGTTTTAACTTACTTGTTTTGGCTGGATTACTTCTGTTCTGGTCTGCAGTGTTCTGCTCATTATTCTTCATCAGATGTATTCAGTTCTCCTTACATGTACAATCACATTAATTCCAGGCAGGAAATTTGCAAATCTAATAAAAAGAACTCCAAGCTCCCTCAAGTACCTTACTGCTGCTATAAAACTCTTTGTACACATGCTGCAAAAACCAACATCCTCTTAGTCCAAAGGCAATAGCCAGCTCTGCCTGAAAAACAATCCAGATGGAAGCAAACTTCTCACTTCCAAACAGAAACCAGAGGTTTGGACCAGCACTTGTCTTCCCTGGACATTCAGGCTGTGCATCCTGAGGGAGCCCACACACCATTAAAACCTGTACATGATTCTGGTGACACCTACACTTTTATTTTTTTAGAAAGTATGGCCAAATTCACAGCTCCTTTTGCTGTGTAACTATTTCCCTTTACCCAAACACAAAACGAAGCAGCTTCTTAGAACAAGCATTGGGCAGCAGGTGAGCACCAGCAGCCAGGGCTCCTGAGGGCTGCTTGTGAAGGTTTCTGACAAAATCAGGTTCCCACAACAGCAAAAGGCACAAACAGCCCCGTCCTCCCCCCAACAGCTGCACTTTCACACGTGCTTCCTGACAGCTGGGAAAAGATGTTCCGCTCCTGCGGTTTGCTGACAGCGTTTTCCACATCACAAACATTTCTGAGGGTGGAGACTGTCTTAAAAGAAATTTTTAAAAGAAAACAAACCCAAACAAGTAAATCTCCACCAAAATAAAAAAAAAAAAACAAAAAAACAAAAAAACAAGGAGGAAGGAAATGCACACAACGTTCTGTGAGGAAATTTTGCAATCCTGCAAACAGCCAAAGATTTTGGGAGGGATTCTGTATGACCCAGGGAAGGACTGCAGGACTTTGTTTTCTTGCTTCAGAAAGTAGAAAGAAATAAGAAATAAGACAAGGATCACTATTAAGTCATTTTCTGTGTAAGCAATTGTACAACAGGGCCTGGAGTCCTGCAGAAGGCATTGCCCAGGCACAGCTGACATTTACTTCGCTCAGAGTAAAGAACATCTACTTGTCAAGACTGTCATGATGTAGCTTTGTATTATTGATTACTTCATCAAATTAGTCATCAGGTTTGTTTATGCAGTAGTGTTGAACTCAAATTCTTTATGACATTTGTACCTTCTAGTACAAGATCTCACTTCCTTATAGCTTAATATTTGAAGTTCAACTGAAATATTTTATTAACAAGCTGGCTTGTATTGAGTAATAAGTATAAATACTTATTAATATCTTAAAACTTCTATAGATTTGATACTTTTTTAGACTGTTTTTTAAAAATTATATTGCTGTTAAAACCCACTCAGTGCCACTTACTTCCTTAGTCTCAGCTATATTATTACTTGCACTATCTCTAGCAAATATGTGTCTCTTTGATATGGATCAGTGATCTCATTAATTCCCTTACCAGAAAAGAGCAAGAAAAACTACCCAAAAGGAGAAAGGTGGGGGTTGGTCTTTCCTCCCAAGTAACAAGTGATAGAACAAGAGGAATCAGCCTCAAGCTGCACTGGAGGAGGTTTAGACTGGATATTAGGAAAATCTTCTTCATGGAAAAGGTTGTCAGACATTGCCACAGATTGCCCTGGGAAGTGGTGGAGTCACCTGGAGGGATTTAAAGACATGCAGATGTGGCACCTGGGGACAGAGTTTAGTGGCAGTGCTGGGGGAATGGAACTCGATGCTCTTGGAGGACTTTTCCACCCTCAGTGACTGAACTGCAGGGCAGGATGGCTCTGCCCCACAGCTCACAGGAGAAACTGCTGCTCACATCAGCCACATCTCAGGACAGAGGGACACAACACTGACCTGTGTCCCAAACTGCTGCTCACATCAGCCACATCTCAGGACAGAGGGACACAACACTGACCTGTGTCCCAAACTGCTGCTCACATCAGCCACATCTCAGGACAGAGGGACACAACACTGACCTGTGTCCCAAACTGCTGCTCACATCAGCCACATCTCAGGACAGAGGGACACAACACTGACCTGTGTCCCAAACTGCTGCTCTCCATCCCACTGTTCCTCTCTTTGCCCACTCCTCTGCCTGCCAGTGGTTAAATGTACATGAGATATGACAAAATTCTCCACAGAAACATGAGTAAAGATCAGCACTGATCGGCACAGTTTCCATATTTAGAAGTTCCTCAAGTCCTAGAGCCACTCCCCCACCTCCTTTAGAAGAAAGATCTCTGTCATGTAGCTCCACCAGCTCTCTTGCTCAGTAACCAGAAAATGCTTTTTCTCACAATTCTGCTGTTTTCCTACTGTAAGCCAATGACATGTTTCTTTCATATTACAAATCTTTCTAAACCAGAACCATTGTTTCTTGTCTGAAAGCTTTTTCTTCTCTTAGCTCAAATGTCTCAGCAGATACAGAAAACTACTGCAAATGGCAAAGGTAGGTTCTCTTTTGTTGATTTTGAGGTACGTGCTGAGATTGACTGTTATCCAAAAAAACGGGGGAGGGATTTAAAAATGTCCAAAAATTTCATGCCAAATTAAATCTTTTGCCTCTCTGTGCAGTGAGTAATTTTAAAAGTTTCTATACAAAGTTAACTATCTCTTTGCTGATCTGTATGTAAAGCCAAAATTACTTTAACTCGTTAAAACACTTTTTCCCCATGGAAATGTTTTAATTAATTTTAGTTATGACTAGTTCAGTACCATTTTCTATGGAAAGGAAGGTTTTTATTGCAAATTCATTTGTATAAGATCATGAAAGGAAACAAATTCCATCAAGGCTCTTATTGCTACTATTCAAATGTTCAATTTACTTACACAAGGTTAGTTCTGTCTGTTAATAGACAGCCACAAATAAATACTGCTTTTGCTTTCAGGTTCACATGCTGCCTCTCAACTCATACATAAGGTTACTTTCTCCTACAATTAATATTCCACAATATTTGATTTAATCTTTTATACTTCTATTATTTTAACTGCTGCTGTAGTTAAAAAGTATTGTTGGTTTATCTGAACATATCTTTGTGAGGCTGTGCCTCTTTTACAGGAACACAGGCACTTTTCATCATGTGTGAAGCTGAATTCTGGTTTTGCAAAGTAATTGAGTTGCCTGCTATTAGGGGTGGAAAAAGTATAATGGCTGCCCATTTCAACACAAATAAATATAGCTTGGTTGTCAATATATTCTGGGAAAAATCTGGGACTTTCTTGGGTCATAGGTGCAGTCAACTCACTCAAAAGTTTTTTCTTTCCAGAGATGCTGTCCAATCCCAAGCTTGTAGTGGTTCAGGGGACTTTGAACGTGGTGATGAAGCAGAATGTGACCCTCTCCTGCCTCTCTCAGCCTGGATCTCCACCTGTCAGATACACACTGTTCAAGCACAACCAGCAGGTATCTGCTTTGAACAGGTCAGACTTGAGCCCTGCACTGTTCCCCCTGACCATCAGCTCTGCCAGCGATGTGGGGGAATACAAGTGCAAAGCTGAGTTTAACAACTCCAGTGGTGGAAAATACAGCAACAGCCTCAACTTCACCCTCATAGGTACGTCTTGCTGTACACCTTCCCAGTGCTGGTTACTGCAGGGGCACACAGCCATGTCTTTTCTTGACTCAGGAGCTGAACTTTACTGCTGTTCTTACCTCAGGAGCTGGCAGTGCTCTCCTGCCCAGGCTCACAACCCTTCCATCCTCCATGCCCAGCTCTTCTGACAGTGTTGTCACTTTGCTCCAAGTCTTGCCTGGAGTTTGTCCTGAACTCTGTGATTCAGACTTTTCAGTTTTCTTTCTACAGAGCCAATTTCCAAACCAGTGCTGAGCTCACCCACCTCTCAGGCAAAGAAAGGCCAGAACGTGACCCTGTCCTGTTTCTCGGAGAACGGATCCCTTCCCATCACATATCTGTTCTTCAAAGGAAAACAAAACATTTCTCCCCAAAAGACGATGCAGAAGAGGGAAGCAGCTGTGATTTTTCTATTTATCGATTCCCTTAGTGACTTTGGAACCTATAAATGCAAAGCTAATAACAGTTTTCCCAACAATACAAAATACAGCAACGGTTTCAACTTTACATTAGCAGGTATGAATAAAAAGAGGTTACTACTGTTGACAAACTGGGATCACACAACATTCAGAATATTGTAACTATGCAAGTTTTTAGCCAGATATTTTGTTTGTGATGTTCAAAATACAACTTTTTAAATGAAGAAAAGAAAGTTGAGGCTTTAAAATTAATGCAAAACCATAGAATTTCATGCATCCTAGACAGAAGTTGAAATGGCCATGGAGGATGTCTGTAAAAGACTCACTTTTACAAGAGACCCGTGGTCCACCTTGGAGAGAGTCTGGTTTCATTTTTCTCTCTGTCCTATGAAAGAGCTTAACTGGGACCAGCGAGATGCCTTCCTTCTGCTGGGGCACAGGGCCCCTGGGACTCATATGAACAGTTACATTAACCCCAGTTAATCTAAAAGCTGAAAGACATTTCAAGTCTTGAGTTCAATTTACAGAAAATACTTAAAATATGAAACAACATTTCATTGCATAAACACTTTTTTTTCTTCTTTTTGGCAGAAGAGAGAAGCCATTCTCAACCCCTGATAATTTCTCTTGGGCTGATCCTGCTACTACTCATAATAGGATTTGCTCTGGCAATTCCATTTTTCATAATTCCTTTGTATAAAGCAAGTGAGTTATTTGAGTATCTGTTTCATTTTCCAAAGGTCATTTATGTTTTCAATATATTTTACTGTGTAAACATCCCATTTTCAGTAGAGTAGCTCCTGGTATTTTTAGCCTGTTGTTGAGTCTCCTCTGAAGCATCTTAACAAAACAAGGCCAAATCTCTGAGCTGTGTTTTAGATGAAAGATCTGGGGTGGGGGAGGCAAAGCAACAGCTAATGTAATACAAAATCACACTGGAAGGAATTTGACCTCACTGGAAAGGGAAATTATTAAAATTATTAAAATGCCCTTGGGTTAAAGAATAATTTTGATTGTGAAAAATAATATTACCTGAGATTTCTAAATATCAAAAAATACATTTAAACTATTTATTTCTAAGAAATATATATATATATACACACAGACATGTGTTTTTCTTTTATAATTTGCAGAAAAGTTTAAGTCTACCAGGCCCTCAATTGGCCTTACTTCAACAGTGTATGCAGAGGACTCTGAAAATGAAGTCATATACTCAGAGATTGGTAAGTTGCTGTCACCTCCTGCAGTCAGGCAGGTTTCCTCAGGTACTGCAAAATCACTGGAAGGGGACACCTGCTGACCCTCCTGGCAGAGGCACTATTTGAAATCCCTCAGAATCCACATGTGGCATAATCTGACAGCCATGCAGCCAAAACTGCAAAACTGGTTAAATGAACTGAGGTATTAATAAAAAAGGGTGTAATTGCCATTTACTAACAGACAATAGTGAGATATATGAAGCTGTAGCAAAATAAAACTTGCATAGCTCCTGCATTCTGTTCAAAATTGTTCATTACTTTAGTTCTTTATTCAGTCCTTCTTAAGTTTGGCAAGATGCAAAGTCAGTTCAAAATGAAATTAGGAAGTGACAACAAAGCAACTGACCTATGTTAAGACATTTTAGTAGTTGAACTGCAGAAAACACACAATAATGGAGACATTACCTGACACCACAATGCTCTGAACCTGCACGTTCCTACATTTGCCTTGAATGGGAATGCCTCTTTTCAAGGGGAATAAGAACCCCAAACAAACAAACAAACCAATAGCAAAGGCATTCATGTTTCCCATTTCTAAATATCCAAATGGAGTAACTGTCTCCTGACAAACCTGCCTTCCTGTTCATGCAGTAGACAGAATTCTCACTGCCCTGCTGGGCCAGCTCAGTGCTGTGAGCTGCTCGTGCCAGGTCTCAGCCTGCAAGGACAGTGATAAGAGCTCTGGTAAGGCCTGTGAATGCTCCATGATTTATATTCAGTATGGAATTTCACTGCTTTGTTTCAAGATTATAGAAAAAAAAAGTTTGATTCAAGTTGTTTGTAATTTAGTTAACTGCTGTTCATCATCTTTAATCCAGAGCCTGTTAAAGCAGAAGAAGAATACATCAACTTTCCTGTTATTAGGAGAGAAGAGGAAAAAGGTAAAAACTTCAAGCTGTAATATTGGAATATCTGATGCACACAGAGGGGACTTTGCTGGGTGGAGGCAGGGCTTAAATACTTGCAATTGCTTATAAAAATCCTTAGTTACTATGGAAAAACTAAAAATAACTTTACAAGTATTTTGAGGAGGGGGGAAAAGAAGAAAAAAAAACCTCAATAAACCATCCTATGGCAAATTCAACAGCCTCACCACGTAACCATGCTGAAGATGTTAATAGTAACCACACTGCTGATGTAATGGTAATTATTCTTCTGTGTATCTATACCAAAAAAGCAATTATGAATTATTATTCTGGCTCTTAGCAGGGAAGAGGGCATGTTCTACAGTCTATTCAAAGGTCCTCATCAGAGACTGAGTACCAGGTATGACTTTTTACTGATTAACTTCATCACATACTTTTAAAGAATTTTTCAGCCCTCAAATGTGCTAAGTTCCAGCAAGCTGCATACAAAGAGATGATGTTCAGATACCAATTTCCTGACCTAATCAGATTGTAGACAGACAGTGTAGCTCACTTTCTAAGCAAAATCTCAGAGCTGTATCTAAGAACTTCAACTTTTGAGAAAAAGCAAATGAATAAAACTTAGAATTACATGTAAAGCTTTCACCCAGATCTAAGTTCCTGAACATTTAACAATTCTGCTAAAGTAGAAAGTGGACTGTTTGCAGACATAAGATAATCAAAAGGCTTTTGTACAGTGTAACAAAAAAAGAAAAAACATCCCTCTTAGGTACTAGAGGATCTGTATTTGGCCTCTATGTACCTGCACGGATGGCAATTCTCAGTTCAACAGTACTTCAGTTCTCAGGGTAGGGAGAGGTTGCTAAAATTAATTTTTAGACACCTGACTTGAAAATAAATTCTGTATCCTGCTACAGGCTGTTTCTAAGATGTTGCTGGATTGTTTTAATACCATTTCATAGCCAGCTTATTTAGAATTCCATGAGTTCAGTTATGAAGTCACATTATGTTAACCTTGATTATATCTAGCATAAATACTCTGTACTGCAATTATTATTGCTGTTACAAATAATTCATTTATAGTTAAGTGAGCACCATGTTAGTAGAAGATTTTAAGGCAAGTTCTTGTGTTTCATGACACTGATGACTATCAGAGGCCAGGGGCCTTGCTGCACAAACCTTCAGCACCTTTTACAGGGACTGAGCAAGCTGAACAGGCACTGGAAATCTAGACAAGATCAGAAATATGCAGCTTTGTATCTCTGCAAACTCTTGTATCTGATTTAACCACTGTGCTTAGGTATAGGAAAAATATGATCACACATTAGTCTTTTTCCACCATTTTATACACACAGATATTTTGCCCACAAAAAATGTTCATTAAAAAACGTTTATAATTTATTTAAATCTGTTCCTCTGTTGCTCTTGGTAACATTTTTCTGTTTTTTTTTATGTTTCTCATGTGCAAAATGAAGTAGCTTACATGTTAAAGAACTGAAGCCATGTGACTAAAACACATTCCTACAAACAGTACAAAAATACTGATGTTACTAAAATATTTAAGATTTTGAAGTCTTTTATATAAAATACCATTTTCCAGCAGAGATCATAATTGTGTCAGCAACACAGAGGAAAGCTGAATTTTTAGCTTAGGATGGAGCACTTTCAGTATGATATTAAAACCAAGGACATGAACAAGAATATGGTTAGCCTTGCTAACAAAGGACAAGTTTTTCTCTTCCCTTTTTCCAAGGTAACCTGGAAGAGCCAGATTTGACAGAAAACAGATGCACCACCAAGTTTGAGCAGAACTGTTTGCAGAGAAACCACGGAGTCCATGACAACGCTGAAAGCAGTTCAGGCAAAGATGTCAAAGAAAATCCTTTTATTCAGCAAGTTTTACACATTTTTGGCTGATGTAACATATTTAGTTAAGAAGTCCTTCAGCCTGGAAATGTGCATCATTTCCTTCATGGTGGTATCTCTGCTTCTCAGCTGGACCACTCCGTTCTCCAGAGTGCCATCACTTATCAAGACCATGAATGGAATACTCATTTCATCGTACCTGCAGAGAGAAAACTCACCTGTTACTGCTTTTGGTGCATGGAAAAAAAATCAGAAAACTTACATACAAATGACCATAAACTATAAATATTTAGTTTTGCTGTATTGCACTAAGTCCAGTGTGACACCTCCAGTTTTCTTGTTGCCATTCCTTGCTTTCCTGATTACATTTCCTTAAATTACTTAGCTACTTTAGTATATAAAAAGAATCTTATTTAGTAACCTATTAAAAGAGTATTTTTGTACAAGCAGAATTTATCTTTCTGACTTTGTTTTACTGCACGTGAAGTTGCATTTCTTTTCTCTCAGAAAAAAATCACTCATCAAATGCTTTGACACGAGGAGCCATATGCCCCACATGCACTCCTGGTCAACAAATCATACATGAAGCCCCCAAATGGAACAGCTGTTTTCACATCCACAAACAGCTCCATCACATCACTAATGGCAGAGGTTCCAGGCTTGGAAGAATTGTCAAGTTCAAGATTAGATACAGTGGGTTGTTTGAAATAGTGCTTAAGAATGAAACACAGAACCAGACCAGATGCAAAAATGGGGGTGAGGGTGGAAACAGTTCTGCAAGCTTATAATTCATCTGAAGAAATTTGTTATCTACATGAGAATTTTTAAAAGGCATTTCACAGTTCCAGGGAAATAACAGCAACATGTGAATGGCTTCTACTTCACTTAATTTTTAAAATCATCTGATACATGCTTTTCATAATAAAACTACTTGAATCCAAGTCTGTAGTTCAGGATCCACACCTTTAGTCAGTTACTGGATTCAACAACTTCCTACTGAAAAAAGCCCATTTACAGCAGTCCACAGAAAGTCATCTTTGACCTTCATAGTTTAATTTACAAAAGACTGTTTCTCCTTACTTTGTATAAAGATGTTCCAGAGACATGTGCACAGTTTCCAGATAACCTGGCCATACAGAAATTCCATTTTCTGTCAGCTCATTGAACAATCCTTGACAAACCTGTATTCATTTAACAACAAAAGTTAAAAGACAGACTTTGAGGGCTTGAGACTCTATACAGAGAAACCATTAAAACTCTTTGCATGTGTGGCATTAACATTCCTAGCTGGTGTTAATTTGCTGGCTGAAACAATTTTAAAACAGAAAGCAGCCTGGCAGTTCTGTCTCCACTTCTGTTTAAAACAAGCCAGTGTAAATTTCCTCCCTTCCATTCATGACTGACTTAAATGCAAACTTTTTAAAAATCCTTCTGAACATGCTTTAAGATAATTCTGGAAGATTAAGAAGCCAAGAGGGATGGTGTTATTTATTTTCCTTAATTTTGCATGGGACAAGCATCAGCTGCATTGTACCAAAAGCAGTTGTGTCCACACAAGGAACTGCCTGCAGTGAATTCCTTTGGCTGTGACCCACAAGCTGCAGAGTGGGAGCACCATGAACTCTGCACAACCAGGAATGATTATCCTCAACATAAACAGTGTCTGAATTGTAACAGATTACATGGGGAGTCGATGCTCAAAGTTAAAATACTCTCTTATAACATACCTGCCTCAGCTCTGTTGTTGGACCTTTTCCTACATCCAAGGCTACTTTAAGGGGTGCTAAGCAAGGATGAAGCTTAAGTACCTAATAAATTTACAAAAAACAACAGATTACTAAATGTATTTATCATGCAATTCTAAACAGAACTAGGAAATAGCAATTTTTTAAAAATTAAATTAAGGTTCCAAACATACAAAAATGTTCTCACAGCACAAAATCCTGAATTAGAAGCAAGCTGTATTTTATGCAATGAGCACAGCCCAGCTATGTTCACGTGGCAGAAATTACTCTATTTTGGCTGAGCTCCAGAAAAAGAGATGAAGATTTGTTAGCAGAGCTTCATCATCTTGAACAGAGCCAGAGAGATGACAGACAGCCCAGCAGGCAGTTCCCATCCAGTCCACTGCCTTTTCTTCAAGCCCAAACAGCTGCCTGGGTAACAGGCACTGCCTGCCAGCACTCAAACTCCAGAAAATGGGATGAAAGTGGGGAGAATGATGGTTCTTGGGGAAATGCCCCATCACCACCTGTGACCCACTTTTTCTACTCTTCTCAGCCACTTTCAAATGCTGCTGGAGAAAACAAATTGTTCACTCCCACAAACTGCAGCTACATTCCAATTTTTCTTAACTCCATTGCTTACGTGGCAAGAGCCTACCCATGGATCAGAGAGAAGGGTGAGGAAAGGGGACCTAAGAAAAATTGTTTATGTGGGTGACAGGGACCACAGGGGCTGTGCCATGGTGCTACCAGTGAGAGGGTTCAGTCTGCATCCATTGGGAAGGGATCAGGATGACCACACAGAAAAAGAGACATTGCCATGTTTGAATTTACCATATTGTCTGGGGGTGTTGTACTTATTTTCTCACATTTTCTACATGAAGTTACCTTTCTCTGTGAATTTTTCTTTGCTGTTAATGGATTCTCAGCCAGCTGTAGAGAATCAAAGAGATATGCTAACACTCCTCGGTCCAGATTCCCATTCACAGACAGAACATGAGGGATGACATTCTTCCTTCCATCTCGGCCCTGAAGAGAAAAAAACCCACGTAGGAAAGCATAAAGGACTGTCCCCAAAAGCTTTTTGCTTGCTTTAAATGTATAATTGAGCTTTAAATGAAAAACTGAGCTCAAGCACTCTTATTACATTTAAAATACAGATATTTATTTAAAACATTACCAGCAATCTTAGCAGTGTATGTGTAACCAGGTAAGACTGTAACAGTGGGGAAAGCAGGGCAGGTCAGGACAGGATGGGATTAGTTTCTTGCTCTGCCACTTGGATCACAAATTTAAATCTATTTGAAACTCTGCATTTTCTTTTGGAGGTTTGTAGATTACTTTCAAGTGACCATGATCCCCCACATTTTGAGAAATCCCTACGTAACCCAATTTTGTAGAAATAAACTGCAAAAGCAGAAAAGACAGGACTGTCATGAGAAGGTTGCAATTTTCTGGTAAAATACAAAGTTACTCTGGTTTTATCTGTTCAGCCTAACCCCAAACATTGCTATTTATTAGAGGTTTGTCCCTCTTCAATATATTCAGTGGAAAGGTTTCCCTCTGGTCCATCCCCCCTTTTTCTATAAAGCCATTTTTATAACCCATTAATCTACAAAAACTTCTACATATATTAAAGTGAACAAGCTACAGCAAGAAAGAAAAAACCCCTCACATTTACAGGCTCTTTTTGATGCAAACTGAACAGTGCAAAACATAGTCTGAGTTTGTGTTTACATCTACTCACAGAAACAGGTAAAGGCTTTGCCACTGACAAAAGCTGCCTTGTCAATAGAGCTTGTTTCTAATTTTGAAGAATTCCTTGCAAAAAAAAAAAAAAAGTACCAAACAGTATTTTATCAGCTTCTGAAAATGAAGGTCTGACTGCAGAGTATCAACTATACTACTTTTGCAGCAAATTAATAAAAAGCCAGCCACATGTGCTAAGCAACTGGATCAACAAAGAAACCATTTCTCTCACACATTACCATCTTTATCAGGAATGATGTTTAATGCAATAAAGCTTACAAGTAATTTCGATCTCTCTCCTGGATACATCTGCAACAGTTCAGTATCACCAAGGTTCTTCAGTGTTTCTATTGTTTCTGTCCCCCAAGGAAAGCTGTAATGTAACTTAAATCCTCTTCTGCCTTCTTCATCCTGAAAGTCACTGCTGCTGAAGTTAGACGGGCCTACAGCAAACTGAAAGTAAGAGGTGTAAGAGATGATCACTGCTGTGAACTCCATAGTAACTACAAAAAACAAGTCTGCAATGCAAACTGAAGTCTCTGGTTTTCAGCAAAAAGGTTTCTATAAGTTAAAGTCCAAATCTCTTTGTTGTTTTATGGCATTTTCATCTCACATCACTGACAAACACAGAACATTTGCCCTTCTGCAAGTCATGTTATAAACTACTCTTCGGGTTTGTCATCAGCTTCAGTAGATTCTCAATGACCATGAGAAATTTCAGTGCCTAGAACAGGCCAGCAATGTAAGGCCATAAAACCAACCAGGGTGACTATTCCCCCCCTGAGACATAAAGGAGCAGGCCAAGATTCCCCATGGACATGCTGCTGTTACCTTTCTCCACCACTGGAGCCTCTGGCGTAGCCAGTAATCGAGCCACTGTCCTGCAGTTCTGGGAGAACTAAACCATGCAAGCAAAGACGTGGTCCTCTCGCCTATTCTTTAAACAACAGCAAGGGCAGCAAGTTAACACCTTGGGAAATAACAGGGGAAAAGCAAGAAACAGCATTCAAAAATAATCCAAAAGTGAAACAGTTGATTTGGGTATAAGGGATTAACTACTCTATTACCCTACCTTGTACAGTTTTTGTTGTGTTGGTCATTTCCTGGAATAGAATGTTCACTTTCTGGAACAGAATGAAAGCACACTCCAATCTGAGCAAGGCCACAGGGCAGTCTTCTGTTCACCAGCTCTAAGCAGCTGACATACTGTGCCAGAACACCTACAAAAGACAAAGCCCTGATTTTAGTGGCCACAGGAAAGTTTTTGATGTTGTACCTCTACCAAGAACAAACGAAACATATATTATACAGGTGTTGTTTGCACATGCAGTTCCACTATCTTTACTAGTATTGATACTTTGCAGACATGGGCTCAGCAGGCTGGTTCCTCTGGGCACGTTGATTTTAATGTGCTTTTCCCCAAATTACAGGGAGTACATCCTCTGCCTACTTGGGCTGGTCTGGTCCTTGAAAAGCACACAAATTCAGTCTACAGAAGGAACATTCCCGGCGCACCAACGCAGCTGGAAAAACCCTTTAAATGCAGCTGCTTCGCTCCCAGCAAGAAACTCGTGCTCAGTGTGCAGGCTGAGCGGAGCCGCCCGGGACCTACCGGGCAGGAGGCTCTCCCGCAGCACCCCCGCGGCCCCCAGCACTTCTTCCAGGGCCGGGCGGCCAGGGTTCTGCCCACAGCCCTGGAGGGCTTCCCGCAGCGTCTCCGGGTGCAGCAGCCGCAGCCCCTGCGCGTCCAGCGGAGCGCCGGCCGGGCCGTGGAGCGCGGCATCCACGGGGAACACCTGCTCCCGCACGGGCAGCGCCGAGTCCCACCACTGCGCCGCCAGGTTGGCGCGCAGCGCCGCGCCCAGCGGCCCGAAGCCGGGGTGGCGGCCGCTCAGGTAGGCGCTCCAGGGCAGCGGCCCCGCGCCGCCCCGTAGGAAGCGCCGCCGCCAGCACACCTCCAGCAGCTCCGCCCCGCCCGCCGCCTCGGCAGCACCGCCGCCCTCCGAGTACGGCCGCGCCGAGCACCCGGGCGGCTGCGCCCGCTCCGGGACTCGCCGCCGCCTCGGCTGTCCCAGGGCGGCACGGCCGCACCAGCGGCAACCTTGGCGGGAGCCCAGCGCCATCTTGTCGCTCCCTCCCGGCGGGGCTGGGAGACTGGGGGGGAAGTGGGGGCAGCCATTGCGCACGCGCAGCAACACGCGCGGGAAGAGGGACCGGAGTGGGCACGGCGGCCGCGCATGCGCAGCGGGACCCTCGCGGCCCCGCCGGGATCCCGGGCCGAAGGTCACGGACCCCCCGAGGTGAATTTTCTGTCCTCAGGCTGAATCTTCTCGCCGTTTGTAACCGTAATGATGCTGTCAGATAACTTCTGCCAAAGGAATTGACGTCTTGGAGCTAAATTTTCCTCGCCTTTTGTAAACTTAACTAATGCTGTCAGGTAACTTCTACAATAGAAGTTGCTTAATAAAAGAGCTCGTTTCAAGCATTGGGTAATATGACATCACACAAATAAACATACATTGGGTAGGCGCAGAATGTGCATTCTGTAGGTGGGCTCGTGTTCATTTTACTGGTAAAAGAATGTGACTTTTTACCCCTTGGTGTGCTTGATAAGTGGAGTCAACCTTGAGCCCCACGCAGAATAAACAATGTCTTTTTTATAAACCAAACTCTTTTAGAGAGCTCCCAGCATCGGCAACAAGGCCGCACGTGCCAGGGGTGACACCTGGCCTGCTCCTGTGGGACAGGGACATCCAGTGCTCGCCAGCCCTTGGGACTGGGAGGGGGACAGTGGGACAGAGCCTGCCCTCGCTGTCACGGGAACACGCCGCACGGGGCCATTCCTGGGGAACAGCCCCTCTGGAGCCCATCAGGGGGGCAGCAGCACGTCCGAGGCACATAAAGGCAGCAGGCAGAGCTCAGGCGGAGGCGGCACCGCGGAGCCGCTGCCAAGAGCGCGGGCGAGGCCCCGCGGCCGCTCGGGGTGGCGCTGGCAGAGCGCAGGCAGCGCAGTGGAAATTTCCATGCTCGCTGCAGCACGAGCTGGGGGCGCTGCGCGGAGGCGGGGCCCAGGCCGGAGCCATTCCGCGAGCGGCAGGCAGGAAAGGCTCGGGCCGGGATAATCCCCGCGCCGCTCCGGGCGGCGCAGCCCCCCTTTCCCCCGGGCCCAGCACTGACGAGCCGAGTTAGTAGGGCACTGGGTCAGCGGCAGGAGCTGCTACTCCCGCCTGCGCAAACATTGCAGGCAAGTTTAGTTCGAAGGCGTATTCGCCATGAGCTCAATTCTGCCACAATAGCACTGGCAGTAACGTCAAAGCTGCTTAGTAGAGTCTCTTATTTCACGTGCCAATGTTTTATTTCCCCCATCAGGAAACACTGCTCCACGCAAAGGGTCGTGTATAAAGAGTGTAAAATACACGGAAGAAACCTCCTTCCACGGTTTAGGTTTTGCATCGCTGTTAAAGACTCTCATCTCTCAATTTTAATTCACAAGCTGTAAATATACTATTTTTTAACGACAAAAAAAAAAAAAAAAAACCAAACAAGCCACCAACCTTTACAAAAACAGCTTTTCAATGAATTTTGTTTCAGGCAACTGACCTGGAAACTTAGGCATTAAGTCATACTTCAGTGCTAAGTGATCTACTTCCTTGTTTTTCACCCCTGGTGACACTGAGAACTGTTCCAAAACAAATAAGTGAGAAAAAAACCCCATCCCCTACTCCCCCCCTCAAAAAAAAAAACCCCAAACCAAAATACATTGCCACCTGCAGTTTTAGACCGCAGTGGGGTAGTTCCAAGCCTCCAGCTGGAGTTCTCAAAGCAGGACTGAAAGAACACAAAATACTTTCAAGTGAAAGAATTTCACGGAAAAGGAGGAAACGATTAAGAGGCAGATTAGGCTGCATTAGAGAACATCACAAGCTGAGCCTCAGAAGGAAAAAGTAATCAAGGACTGAGCACAGACTAAGCAAAAAGATCATAAGTGCAAAACAAAGTTAACTCGGGTTCAAAATAACAAAAAGAATGTTGTAGATTTAACCTTGAACACATTAATTGCTGCTGAACTTAACACTGTTACTGATAAACAAGAGGGAGGAACTGAAAGTTAGCATTAACTGGAATTTTAATACATCATGTTTGAAAGTATTAAGCACTTTAACCCCAGGATCAAGTACTATTCCAGTTCTGCTCATTAAGAAATGCTGTTGCTTCACTCGGCATGGGCAGTGCTTTAAGATTAAGAGTCATTTGCACATATTAAAAGTCTTTTAAAAAAAGAAAAAAAATCCATGAGGCATCTTCATGGATCAACAGCCCAATCCCCTCCCACCGCTTCCACAAAGAAATCACTGCTCAATACCAGTTTAAGTATAATTTGAAGTTTTAATACTAAGATCTTCCCGTTTCTCTGAAGCTCAGAAGCCTGCATGCTAACTCACAACGCCTGGCAGCTGTGGGTACACAACACTCAAGCCTGGTCTGCACATATGCTCGTGTGAAGGCGACGGTTACGGTGCTGCAGAAGCTTCCTACGCTTGTAGCAGCTTGTTAGCAACACCACTACAGAGTTTTGATCTTTTCCAAGAACTGGCCCTACGCTAGTGAGACAAGGAAGAACACTGTTTCCAAATACTTTCTTAGAAGCCAGCTTTAATTTTCTTCCCCATCGAAGCAGAGCCTGCCATGCTAAGCAATCTAGCCCAATCAAGGCAAGGCTGGTATTTGTATAAGCTTAAATGTTTAATCAGACACAGTTGAGAAACCTTTCTAGAATTTAATATAAAAACATTTGACATTTCGTTAATGTAAAGTTGTGCACATGTTGAGAAAATTGTCATCTGAAAGAAAAATCGGTCTTCAAATATCTTTATTGGAAGGCCATGCACTGCCTTCTGTTACTGTATTTCAAATCACTGTACATTTACTTTGAAAACACTGTCTGCATTTTCTAGTACAAAAAACTAAAAATTGTTTCAGGAATGTAGAGAAATATTCAACTTAAATAGCGAAAAAGTGCACCATAATTACTGCTGCACTGCAGTCATTTCTGCATTTCCCATTTCTTAAATAACTATCCTGTTTTGATAACACACAATATAAAGAGCAATTATGAAAAACTGAGACATTTAAATACACTAAGTTATTGAGAATAACTTGTGGGCATGGGGTAACCTATCATAGGAGCAGCACCAGTGGCAGGGTAGGCATACTGCTGCTGGTTCATGCCATTGTGCATGTTGGCAATGTTACTGCCGTACTGCTGCTCGTAGCCGTTCTGGTACGCTCCTGCAGGGTTACCGCCGGCCCTGAAGCCGGCCTGCATGCCTGCAGCTGCAAAGCCATTCCCAAAGGGAGTTCCATTGCTGAAACTCTGGGCGCTGTAAGCCCCGTTTTGGGTTTTTGCTCCGAAGTCTCTCTTGCCTAGCGCACCATAGGTTCTCTCAAAGTTCTCCCTCTCTCTAAAACTACTAAATCCACCCCTTTTGCCCGCAGAGTATCTGTCACGTCGGTCACCTCGGGAACGACCTAGTGAGAGAAACAAGACAGTTATGCGTATTATAAAGGCTCTACAGTTCAGTTAAGCACCATTTATTTTCTGTCCCAGCAATTCAAACCTACTGTAAAAGCTTTCCAGGTGCTTGCTGGACTCCAGATAGATAGAGCTGTCTCACTTCTGAGGAGTCATACACTCTTCCCCATAACACAAGTCATGGCATCAAGGCAAAAAGTGACTTTTACCTTGCCATCAGGACACTTGGGTCCATCTCTTTCCAAGCCAGATGACATAAAGCCACAAAACGGAGTCCATGAGTGTTTTATTTCAGGGCAAATAAGAAATGCCTCTTTGGCCTGCCCTAGCCATAGGTGCACCACAGCATAGTCTGGGAGCATTTGGGTGCTGGTTTTTTGCTTTTAATTAATACCTTCTGAGGTCACAGTAACTGGTAACTAAACCACCTTCCACATTTATTTTGGAGAGAAGCTGGAGGTGGAATCTGAAGTTTCCAATTTGGTCTGAGAGGAAAGCTATACACCAAGATCAAAAACAGCCCTCACCTGAACCTCTGTCTTCAATCAGCTGAAGCAATTTGGGGTTGATGGCTTGATTAGCCTCCCGAAGCACAGAGATGAGGTCATTTACTTGCTTAATATTGTTAGGAGTAAAGAATGTGTAAGCTGTGCCTGTTTTGGTACTGCGGGCAGTTCGTCCAATTCGGTGGATATAGTCCTCTGAGGAGTTAGGGTAGTCATAATTGATGACAAATTTCACATCTTCCACATCTGTAAAGTGTTGCAGTGTGGCAAAAAACGAGGTACAAAGTTTTGCACACCACAACAGCCAAATCGAAGATAAACATTAGACAAGAGTATTTTAAAGGGAATAATGGCTGCAAAGAACAGTGTTAGAATCATCCATTTCTGCAAAAGTATTGTGGAAGAGAAAAGTTACGCACACTCCGTCTGATCCCGTTCTCATCACCCACCCTGTGATCCAAAACCTTACCATAAGGAGTGTGCATTTGCTTGTCATTCCCAACTCAAGTGTCCCCTTTACAAATCATCAAGTGACATCTGAAAGCTTCTTGCAGTAGGGCCACTAAAGCTCACAGCAGCCTCTTCATGTGCTCATTTGAGGACCTTAGAGTAAAAACATACAAGGTCCTTCACATACACACTCATCAGAAGCTCAAAAAAAAAGGGGCCACACTGCTCGTCTTGCCAAGACCTTTGAACCGCAGCTGCAAGAAAAACATACCTGTCCCCCCAAAGTCACCAAGTTGTTTTTATGCACTGTGTCTTGTCTAGGCAAGCGCTTCCAAGAAGCCAGGGTTCACTTGAGAATGTGTCTCTCTCTGGCAGGTCTCGACATGACGACTATGTATAGGTGGAGGAACTTCGACTTTCAAAGGCATTGAAAAGCCATATTGCTTTCCTGCCCCACTTGTTAAAGTGAGAGGTGGACTTTTATTCTCAGATTTCATGTGCCAGTACTCACCAATTTGTACAAGGCTTAGTACATTTTAAAGCTGCTCTCTCCATTTCATGGTTGAAAAAAATTTCATTGAACATTGAAGTTTAAAATTATGTTCTTCAACATTTCAAAAAACTCACTGAAATT